CTAAAATACAAAAATTAAATAACATCAATAGTTTCTATAATGATTACAAGAATTAAATGACAAGAATAATTTCAATAATGAATAAAATAATTAAATGCATTTAATGGCTTTCATTAAACGAATTTGTCTTTTGATTCTGCCTTCATTATCTTTAAGTTCATTAGCCATTTGGAAAGTACACAGTCTCATTCTGGTGTCAGAGGTGTGTTTCTTGTTTCTCTGAGAAGTGATTCCAGGCCTCTGATTAAGTATACATAGGTGAAGACTACATGCCCCCAATTTGGAGTCTTGAATATATTAATTTTTCTAATGTGGTACGACTGAAGAAAATTTCCATGGCAGAATATCTTGTTTCATTTGTTGTTGTTTGTTTCGATGTCTAGGCGCAAAACATCCAGGTCATAAGCGCCCGATCAACTAAATAACATCATTTAATACTATTTGGATGATTGGTACAAAAAAAAATAAAATAAATAAATAAGTAAATAAATAGAATAAAATAAAATAAATAAAGAAATGGATTGATAGAATAAAATAAATAAATAAGGATAATAATAGACATTTATAGGTAATACGATGTATAAAAAATGTATAAATAAATAAACTTTAAAAAATAGCAGTAGAATAAATAAAAATAAAAAAATAATAATAATAATAATAATAATAATAAAAATAAATAAATAAAAATAAATAAAAAAAGCCTGTCAAATGTGTTTTTTAAGTCTTTCACTATCCATAAACTTGATGACTTTGGTAACTATTTCTTCTTCATTTCCCAGGGATGCTGATATATTCTGGGGTATTCCAAAATCTTTTAATCTTGCGGTGTAAAAAGGGCATTCTTCCAAAATATGTTTTATAGTTAGTGATTGGTTACACTTTTGACATCGGGGGATAGAATCTTTTGTTATGAGGTGGAGGTGAGTCAGTCTAGTATGTCCGATCCTCAGCCGCGTGAGGACGACCTCTTCTCTACGACTGCTGCGTCTGGAGCTGGTCCACGGTTGCACCTCTTTCTTTATTGTTTTTAATTTGCTAGGTGCGCTGTTGTCCCACCGTCTTTGCCATTCTTGGAATATGGTTTCTCTCAGAGGTCGTGCAAGTTCAGATGGTGTCAAAAAAACTTTACCGCGGCCTGGAAGAGTAAGAGCTTCCTTTGCTGCTCTATCAGCCATTTCATTTCCTTTAAGTCCTATATGGCCAGGCGACCAGATAAAATGTGCCGTTGTTCCAACTTCATGAAGCATTTTTATAAGACTTAGAATGCAGTGTATCCCTGGATGGTCTGGATGGTCTGTTTCATTTGTGATTTGTTTGTCAACGGTCTCATTTGCGTTTATGCCATTTTTTTTCCAAAGACATCTCCAATCAGCAGGGTAGTTATCATTTCTAAGAAATTTCTTCTAGAAGGTGGTAGAAATCAGCTAAATACCTAAAAAAAAATATATAATGTAATATAAATATATATTTGAAATTAGGTTAAAAACCATTTTCATTTATTTATTATTTTGTAAATAATAAATATAATTATAACTGAAGATTGTCTCTCTTCATCTATTATTATTTATTTGAGAAGGAGTTGGCCAGGGGTGTGGACAAATTAATAATATTTATTATAATAGTATTTTACTGGATATGCCTTTATAATGTTATTTAATTTGACCGCATCCCTGATCAGCTCCTTCTCAAATTATAATCACAGTCAACCATTTCCACATTATCGTTATTTATGATTTATTTTAAATGTACCAGTAATAGACAATATTCAACTCATAAACCGATAATAAGCTTTATATACCAAAAAGAGAGTGCAAATATGAGTATACTTGGAACTAGAACACTTAGGAGGGTGATGCCTCAACCTCAAGTGATACCATACCTCAATAGCCGATTGACTGTTGATTTCTCAATAATATAAGTCTGAGTTTTGTTTCAAGGAGGATTCCTTATTACTATTCTTTAGGAGATAATTTAGAAATTTATATTCATTATTATATCGTAGTTTCACTTTGTGGAGATTTTATTTTCCGTTTTTTTAATTATATAAAATCCTATTCACTCACAAAACCTGAATGTCTATTACTGGTACAAAATACGCTGTCAGAATTATTTAAATTTTTCATGAATAATTAACTAATTGATTGTTCATAAAAAAATATGATAAATAAACATACTCATAAAATAATCATAATCATACATTGCAAATTGAATAGTTGTAACTTTGTTAATAGTTATCCGAAATGAACAATTTTTATACAATTGTGTAGGGAATTTCATTATCTTTAAAAAAACAAATTTTACCATAGAATATATACTTAGCGAGTTAGGCCCCAAAATATTTTTCTTTTCTTTATAACTTTTTTTTCCTGAATTTTCTCGGGAATTTAGTCCAGATACAAAAATTGAAAAGACAATTATTAGAACATTATAGGAAAGTTTCATCAAAATCATTAAAGCTGTTTTCATGCTACAGTCTATAGAAAAACATGGTTTTCATTTATTACACAGTTGCTATTGCAGTTCCCGAGATAATCTTGGCACAAACAGACAGACAGACAGACCAATGGCTAAAAATGTGTTTTTCGAACTCAGGCGGCTCCGCTAGATCCGTCAAAAACTGCATATCGGAAATTTGACCCGATTGCAATACTTTCCTTACCTAGTATAGGTAGAAAAGTAAAAACTGTACCACTACACCCTATGAAGGGACTTGGGGTCAGTGTTTTATAAGGAAGTGCTGTTTCAAGACCAACATTTGTACAAGAAGGTAATCGGGCCAGGATTACGCTCAACTGCCAATTTTTTTTCTCTTAATTAGTTAGTTAATTAAGAGCACTCACTTCATAGAGACTAAGTATGCCCCAGGAGAATCTCCCGATCACAGGGTCATTCCACAACTGGTTAACAGTATTAAATAAATACCTGCCACAGCCAGATTTAAACCCGGGATCTTGAGTATAGGAAGTCAGTGCCTTATCCACTGAACTAACCATACTCCCCAATTATTTGAACAAATATTGCAATAAATTACTTTGTTATCTTGCTTGAAAGCAATTGTAATGTACACCTTTATTGGAAGTGAGTAAAAAGTGATTAATAAATTAATGTTGAACAATTAAAAGGCAAGCTAATCTAGTTCTACTAGTGCAGGGAAAAGAAAATGGCTACTCTCTAATTTCCCAAGAAGGAAAATCCCAAAGAGAAGAGGGACAAAGGTTTTTGTTTTGGCAAGCAGTTGTTGTGTGACTGCAGTCAAGAGAGGTTAAGAGAAGATATCTTATCCTGGCATCCAGTGGGTAAAAACCAGTAATAGTTTTACCATCTTAGAAGATCTTGTTTGGCAGGGAGAATAGTTGTTTGGAATTGCAAGAGAGAGGATTTCCCAGAGAGCTTGAGTTGAGATTTTGGGATATGTGTTTGACAGAACATAAGAAAATGTGTAATTAATGGTATTAATGATTTGTTAGCTGTATGCTTTAAGCTTTAGTTCGTTTACCTTTGTGAATGCACTTCAAAAATTTTATAATAGCCCAACATTGCCAGAAAAGTATTTCTATTATAACCAGATTTTGTTTTCAGACACTTTAGAAGATTACGAAGAAAAGGATTATAACTTACAAAATGTACTAATAGGGTTTGAATTGTTTGTTTTTTGTTTGTTTCGATGTCTAGGCACAAAAAATCCCGGTAGGGTTGGAATTGTAATGTGAATGGAGTTTGTAGTTAAATGTGTATTAAAAATCTTTTCTGAGTTAAATATACAATTTTGAATAATAAGGTATGGCTGTCCTTAGTATTCTTTCTTAGATAAATAGTGGACGAAGATCTCCGTTACAGAGGAGTGTCAGTTAACAGAAGTTTCACTGCATATTATTGTCATTCTCCTCATTATTTGCGAGTGGACAGACCCCATGAGATAAATTATATATACAGTCAAAATGATACACCTACATATTAATAGAAATTGTTGAATAAATTAATAGCTCAATTTATATTACATTGAAAAGAATAATTTATTGCAATCAATAAACATCCTAGTAATATGTTCTTATGTTATGTTTTATGTTCTTCCCTTTTGTTACGTTTGTTGGTTTGGGTTGTATAATGGCTTCTGGTGTAGTAAATCTTCACATTATAGTGGAAATATTCACAAGGTCTAGTGAACAAAACATGTTTACACTCACATTTTGAGAAGAAACATGAAAGAAATTGTTGAAAATCTAGGGCTAAAAAATAAATTTAGTTTTTATTAGGATAATCACTCCAAACAGTATGCTATATTAGTTAAGGCTACTTTATAACTGCATATAAGTTATAAAAACTCCACCACAGCCACCAGATGTGATAAAACACCCCGGAGAAAAATTGGAGGTAGAAATTAGAAAACATGAATTTTCTTTCAACCAAAGAGTTGGTTGACTCCATTACAAACAGACTGATGGAAATGGTAGAAAATAATGGCTCACCTAAAAGGTATTGAACTAAATTAAAAGTATTCAAAATTTAATCAGAAATGAGATGTATTATTTTGACTGAGAGGTGAAATTATCCAGTTCTTTTTTTGTTAATTTTTTTTAATAAATATGGTTGAATGTTTTAATTTTATTAAGTTTGTATATATTTAAATTGAGATTATAAATAAATCTGTTGGAGGATTTCTGGTTTCATTTGTTTACTGTAACCATTTAAGGTATTTTTTTTTACTTTTCTATATTTATTTTTTATATTGCTCCCCGTAGAAATATATATATATATATATATATATATATATATATATATATATATATATAAAATTCCACATAAACCACGAACTTTTATTCTGTTGATACGAATTTTTAGATAATTCAACCGGGTCAATCGGAAAATGGAGAATCTACTTCACTTATATTATTTCTAACCTTTTTTTTTATTTAAATGATTGAATTTATTGGAAGCCATTGTCCAATCTATACAAATTTTTCATTTGTATCTTAACAGCTTACACTACAGAGCTCATTCATCTACGGACTTTCTCCTCTAGCTGGAGGGGATGCTCCCCCACTCCGAACGTCGCCGGCAGCTCGCGACAACAGTCACTCCAAGACAGTGAGATGGGAAAGACACCAGCTATCGGCATCGACTTGGGCACGACGTACTCCTGCGTCGGAGTATGGCAGCACGGGAAGGTGGAGATCATAGCCAACGACCAAGGGAACCGCACCACCCCGAGCTATGTCGCCTTCACCGACACGGAGAGGCTCATTGGCGACCCTGCCAAGAACCAGGTATTCATCAAAACTTTTATCCTGTTTGTCGTGTTTGGCAGCCCTTACATGGTCAGTATTTACTGACTAACGAATACTGAAGGACATTTTTTACCTTACAAGAACAACAATATTGTCAGTATTATTGATATTGTAACTCCTTATAAGGGCAAAGTTTCTGGAATATTGGAGGGTACACTAGACTTAAGAAGTCAGCTGCAGTTTTAGAGGCTCTAAAGAAACAAAAAAAAAACACACACACATTTATGGAGGATGGTTTAACTTGTTAATCCTTTTCTTTATTATACCTTCAATGAATTTCAGCGTTTCTTTCTTCCCAGGATACATTTCAGGTAGCCCTGAAATGACAGTTCTTTCTTATAATCTTCCGTTGTTTTAGATCTTTAAAAATAAAAAAAAATAATGTAAATAACATTTTAAACAGGCTTTTAATAAAAAAACTACCACGATCTTCAATAAAATAAAAGCGAGCGGTTTTTAAACTCAGGCTTCTTAACATTAACATTAATTTTTTTAATGTTTCGTTTATTGTTAAAATTAACTGCGTTGCTTAACAAAAAAAAAATTCTCGCTTTAGATAAGGACTGGTTAAATTTATTTTTCTGAGTTCTATTGATAATTATACTTGGAACAAATTTTGTATGAAAAAAATGTTTATTTTATTCTTTAAAACGATTTCAAATTGGAATTTGGATTCTTGCATTTATATACTGCAAAATTCAGAATATTTTTTACATGACATAATAGTATTGAAAAAAAATTTTTAAACGTGTTTATTGAAAATATTACAATCTGTCTCAAACGACATTTATAATAGTGTTCAGAGATCACATTCACACTCTATGTACAATAAAAAAAAATATACAGAAAAATAATATGTATACAATAAATAAGTATAAAATAACCTAAAAATAAATAAATAAAAAGAACACATACAATACCTATATACAATATTTACAATCAGGCGAGAGAACTCCGAGCCAGACTCGTCTCTCCAACTGTGGAGGGAAAAGCATGACTCCAGGAGATCCCTGCACTTCTCTCTCAACCGCTTCACTGGGGCTCAACCCAATGGAGATTGAGCGAGAGTGCTTTAGCAGTATTCATATTAATGATGAAACTTATCATTTGATCTCTAATTAGATCAAAATGAACTATTTCACAATTCTAAACCAAATTTTTTTCTAAACCACGTTTGTATCTCTATCTGAATTATAGTAAAATATTATAAATAACAAAATAAAGAAGTATTTATTATTGTTATTATTTTTTATAGTAGCCAATGTTCATTCCCAAGTATGAAGATCATGAAGTGGATAGATTAAATTATGTCAGTTCTGGGGCATAACGCTTTCCCAAAATGTGTATATATATATATTATTTATGGCGCTACGTTCCTGTAAGGACCTGGGCCTCTCTTATGATCCTTCGCCACTCTCCTCTATCCCGAGCGAGCAGTCATAATGTCATAATTTATTTATTGAGAAATGTTACAATCTGTCTCAATTATTGACATTTATAATAATGTTCAAAAAGCATATTCACCATTTAAAATAACAATATATATATATATATATATATATATATATATATATATATATATATATATATATGTAGGCAACTGTATAATTTGGAGAAAAATGTATCTAAGCAAAAATTAGTAAGTAATCTTAAAGCATTACTTCATTTATAGGAGTAATTGTGTTCTTTTAAACCTTAATTTATTATTGACTAATTAAATAATTATTGTAAAAATTAAATAAAGATTCTAAACATAACTAAAGTTGTTCATTATAAATTTAAAGCTTAATTTTTTTCGATCTATTTATTTTTAGATGTATAAAATGTTAATAAATATAATTGGAGCAATTGCATCCCGAAAGTTGAAATAGTCATAGAAAATTGTTGGCTAGATAATGAACAAATAAACGTCCGAAGGATAGGCCAAAGCGTTAACAGGAGGATTTTGTTAGAGATAACCTTAGGCAATAAAGTTTTGACGAATGCCGATGAACGGAGGTATCTATTAGGCATCGATTCTATGGATTCGCTAAATCTTTTTTCATTATTACAAATATCTTTCAAGAATGTTTCTTCTTGTGAATTGAAAACCGTAGTGTGGTGCGATGTTTGTAAGCAATGCCATTGCAGTGATTGCGGATTGCAGATTATCTTCTATTTATCTTGATCTTAAATTAAAATTAATAAGAGCCACGTACTAACATAAGTGATAAAATGTCCTTGAGAGTTGCAGACTGTGTCATCATCTTCTTAGCAAGAACATCTGCATCTCTCGATTCGATCATTTCTTTTTTCTGCAGACAGTCCCATTTTCTTTGATTCGTTTTGCTGTACTTTCTTGTTTAGGACTGCGTGTTGACAATTTTTACTCTTATCCAGAAAGATAAAAGCTATTAAAAAAAATACCTTTTTCCGCCAATCTATTTAAAATTAAAGAAGACAAATTTATACTAAATCAATGTATCTTGTATGTTTTGAAAATATAATATATAGGATTTATTTAATTAGCTGTGGTGCATAAAAAAATTAAAAAATAAAATTTATTTTTTGAGAAATGTTACAATCTGTTTCAATTAAGGACATTTATAATAGTGTTCAGAGATTACTGGATAAGGACTTTTGGAGTAGAGCAGCTAGAAAATCCAGAAGAGGAAGAATTAAAATTGAAAGAATTCTGGAACTGATGGATGTCAAAAAGAGACCATTCTAGAAGACATTAAATAAAAAAGATTAAGCTGGTTTGGACACGTTAAAAAGATATCTGGAGAAAGATTTCGAAAAAATAATTATGCAACTGGAAGTAGAAGGGAGAAGGAAAAAAAGACCGAAGGTAAAACGGGATGGGATGGAAGAAAGCCTGGCGGAGCATAGCATCAGAGAAGAACAAGTCATGGATCGAGAAGTTCGGAAAAATATTCTAAATGACATCTAGGTCAAGGAAAATCACAATAATGGAAAATCCCTTAGTAAAAAAAATTGTATAAATTTATGTAAAAACAATCAATTTTCTTAGTACAGCTGCTTTTAACCACTGTCTGCTGAAGTCTGAAGGATGTATATCAGGTATTTTCTTATTTGACTCCGTAATGAACTTTAATCTCAATCGTGAGGATAAGTGCATAACAACTTGAGCTTAAAAACCACAATCATGTCTGGAATGGAAATTGAGGTCACCGAATTGAAGCTGGCAGAATTGCGTTGGCTGTAAAGAACAAACCTCTTTGCATCTTTAATCAAAACAATTGTGGAAACGAGGATCTGAAGTTGAGAAGAGAGGACATTTTAAGTGATTGCAATTAATAGAGCATATTGAACATTAAGTGAAAACAGTTAATACATCTTTATTCCTGTACCTCTACAATCTATGAAGGATTCAGTGAGTTGTAAAGTGAAGGCCAACGGCTGCACACAAAGCTGATGGTGATGAGATCATGTTCAACTGCTAGATTTCTTTTCTAATCAATTAATTAATTAAGGACCCCCCCCCACTTTATAGGGGCTGAGTGTGCCTTAGGAAGGTCTCTCGACTAAAGGACAAATCCACGGCTGATGAAAATAATAATATCTACCATAGCCTGCCTCGAACTCTGGACCTTTAATGAAACATTAGGACAAAAGGAAGACCATTCGGCCATGTCGGGCCTCGCAAAAACTTTTGTTTCGCAGCCCCTTATTTATTTTTTAATGTGTTTTGCAGTTTATTCACATTTTATGAAAATCATCATATATTTTTATTATTGTTTCTGTTAATATTCATTACATGATTTGTTTACAGTGATTAGGTGATGGGGCTCACCTATTTTTTATGTTGAGCTTAAAAACTAAAATTACAGCTAAACGTTCTTCTGAAACAACTTTTACTATCGTTGATGTAATCCGGAATGTTTAAGTTGAAGAAAGAAGGGATTTTTTTACATTTTTCACTGATTCGTGAAATTTGGCATTTCTTTCATGAGTTAAAGTAATGAATTTCATTACTTATGGAATTTTGAATTAGTATAAACATGTAGTTATAACGCTTTGGCTGTTTGTATGGTAGTTTCTTTCACTATTTTACGTTACATTTAATTTTGGAATGATTGTAGTCGTTTTTCTGTTTACTGTGCAATCTGAAATCTTTAAGTAAGGCATATGGAGGGTAATAAATGTCGGTATGTTTTCTGTCTTGTAGTTTTCTTTTTTTTTTTTTACTAAAGTGAGCCGAAAATATAATGTCAATGTCTGTCAAAAGTAATTCCTCGATAAACAAAATATATTTTGAAAGTTTAATTTCGTAGGTTTTGAAACGAAATAATGATGCCCTTCGTTTTATTAGAATTTGCTCCAATGTTAAATTTATACAGATCTTCGATTATTTTTTGGGCCCTATGTTGTATTTGCTTGATTGACTTAATAGCTTAAACTGCTGTAATAGCTATATCATGGCAGCAAATAACTTCCTGGTTTGGTATTCTATTCATGGATCCAATTCAATGCTATGAGAACTGGAATTTACAAATCGCTTACAAACTGATCTTAACAACAGTCATTACAAGTTGGTAATTGTTTTTAGAATTCTGTTTGTCAGAAAATGTGCAACTTTGGAAGTAAATAACTCCATTACCTCGGACGAAACAATTATTCATAAGCTTAGCGCTACCGCGAAGGTCAAACAGGTTAATGAAGTGTAGTCAAGTGAGTCAGTGTTGCACCGAATTGCACTACGCGACCTTGACTTTGTTGTCCGCTTTTGAAGTGGGCATCGATCCGTGTCGTTAGAGCTGCTCTCGGAACTAGAATCGATTAAGGAACAGTTGTTATGTCGTATAAATCAACTTTGAAATGGACCTTATTTGTGATAATTATAAGCATAAAAAAAAAGTAACAAAGGAGATTAAGAAAAAAAAACATTTTTTTAAATTTGGCTGTTTTCTTGGAATAAATATTTTTATGTGATAACTAGAAAGGTAGCCTTTGTCGGCCTAACGGCGGACCCACCC